TAAAAAGAACAGTAAACCAATTAAGTCCACAATATAAAAAAATGAATGGAAACACATCATATTCACTGAAAAGTTCATCAGGTATGTCACTGTGGTGGGTTGACCCAGGTTGGACACCAGAAGTCCACCAAAGCTTCTCTATCATTCTCCTTCTCAGTTGGACAGGGGAAAGAAAGCATAATAAAAGGCTCATAGATTGAGATATGGACAGGGAGAGATCATTCACCAGTTTCCATCATAGGCAAAACAGATGTGACTTGGGGAAATTAAATCAGTCAAATCAGAGTAGGAATAATAAGAAGGAAAAAAAAAATCTTAAATACACCTCCCAGTTTTACTCATGATTTTCTCCACCTTCTTTATCCAGAGCAGAGCATGACAGGGAATGGGGACTGATGTCAGTTCATCACACATTGTATCTGCCACTCTTTTCTCCTCAGGGGGAGGACTCCTCACACTCTTCCCATCCTCCAGTATGATCCTCCCCAACTTCTCCAAAGTGAGTCTTTCCCATGGACTGAAGTTTGTAATAAACTGGTCCAACACGGGTCCCTTCCACAGGGCACAGTCCTTCAGGAACAGACTGCTCCAATGTGAGTCATACATGGGGTCACAGTTCCTGCCAGAAGCCTTTGGGCTTCCCAGCCTCCTTTGAGCATCAATATCTGCTCCAGCATGAGGTCTTCCTCAAGCAGCAGGTGGATATCTGCTCCACCATGAACCTTGGGAGGCTGCAGGGAGACAACCTGCTTCACTATGATCTATATCATGTGCTGCAGGGAAGTCCCTGCTGTGGTGTCTGCAGTAGATTTATATATGAAAAAATTATAATTTGGCTAAAATCAGAAATAGATAGTCTAGACAATACTTCAATTTATTATTGAAGATTCTATGTTTGCCTTACATTTTAGGAAAATATAACAGGAAATACTTTTAAATACCCAAGAATACAGTATCAGTAAGAAAGAAGTGAGTTATTTTACTTTAAAAAAAGTAATCATATCATATTTCAAATTCACATGTGGCAACATGTGAATGTAACATCTAACGAGTACGTTAGATGCCCTATTACTTTGTATGAACTTGATAGTGGTAGGTCAATTATTAGAACACTACACAAAGATTTTTTTAGAAGTCCACTCTTACCCAGTAAGAACAGAGCTGAAATCTCTGGACTTTTTATCATGCTACAAGTTAAGTACATTTGCCCAACAACATTTGAGACACTGTTATACTCTCAAAACACCTTTGCATTAAGGCACATGTAAACAATAAAAATTTTGCATAATGTGTTCCTTGTAAAGAAAATTTGATCTTTATTCAGACTTGTCATAGGTTGAGTGTCAAACTGCCACAAGACAGTGGCAGTTCTCTGAGTAGTTCTCCGTAGTTCTCTGAGTAAAGGCTCTAAGCACATATTTTATGACAACCATTATTTTCTATCACTTTCCAATCTATCCACCAAAAATACATTAGTTAATTCAAAACTTATTAACATTTCAAATTCAATTAATCTAATACCTTTGCTGGTTTTTTGTTTTGTTTTAGACTTTGTTTGTTTGTTTGTTTGTGTTTTTTTCTATCATAACCAAGCTTTCCAAATATATAGGAAGGAAAATTGTCAACTTGTTTTCCAGCAAGAGTTAATTTAAGCTGGTAATGGGGAACAGAAGATATAATGTCTTTGTCTAGGAAAGTGTGATATATATACCGTCCATCCTCACCAACTCTTATCTGGAGAGTGCTCTAAGCACCTCTTTCAGAGACTGTTCTGGGAAGGAGGTTCTAACACTTCTTCTATACTATTTAACTAGTGTTTTAACAATTGTCTTAATATTTCAGACTGGAGTACATACTCGAATCCAGGTTACCTATGTCAAAGCAGCCTAGAGAATCAATCTAGTTTTCTGCTCAGTGATTAGTAAATATTCCACTAAAAGTGACCAACAGCAAAATATGTGAAACATTCCAACCAGAGCATCCTAGAAGCATTGGAAACTCTTACATGTTCAGATATTCTCAGAAGATTTATCTCTGAACTTCTATATGCTGGATATCCCATAATGACATTGCTATTTCTTTCACCAATTAATGTCTCAAACCCCAACTTTTCACTTAGGCAAAAAGGAACATTTCACTAGATCTTATTTAATTTTTGTTGTTATTGTTGTTGTTGTTGAGAAAAAAAGGTGAAAATGATTTCCTCAAACTAATAATTTTCTTTCTGTTTCACTTCCAAAGTACAAAAAATGCCTTAGTTCAGCTCAAACATCAGAATAAGCAACAAGACGACAAGAACCCTGAAGGGCATCTACAGAATTTTTTTCCACTACTTAAATGAAAATGGCCTACTAAGATTTTCTTACAGAAAAGACTTGGTATATCTGAAATATTGTAACAACTGATTGGAAGACTATGGAAAATTAACACTTCATAAAGAATTCCAAGTCTTGTCTCATGGATAACTCCAACCTATCTACTTGATGTATATTCTGGTTCATTGTTTTACTTTGAATCAAAAAGTAGGGATATTTTGTTACACAGCAGATCGGCAGAAGAAAAAAAATTTAAGGTTTTTTTTAAAATCATGTAAAGAATCAAAGTTTCTAAGAAGTTATTTTATAATAATACTTATTATCCAGATCAACCAATAAGTTTTTAATAATTTTTGTAAATTATGTACTTTTTTTTTCCAAAATTAAAGAGCCTGGTTTTAGATTAGTGAAAGTCTAAGGGGATATAAAGTTTACTGTTCTAAATCTAATTAACAAATTATTGTTAATTAAGCTTTCCAAATCTGTTTTTCCTAACATATGGGGGGGATACTTTCCCATAATTGAACATATCAATCTAATTTAGGGAATATAAATGACAGACTAAAAAAAGAATATGCTTCCAGTCTGCTTCTCTACATGAGCAATTATTAAATTAGCTTTGTAAATTCTTATGTTTTGTAAACAGATAATGGGAATTTCCATATATAAAGTAATCTTATTATATCATTTGAATATAGCCAAAGCCTTTTGCAAAACAAGAAATGAAATCATTGTATGAAGCTCATGACTGAATACATAAAACACATTCAAGAAAAATCAAATGCCTATTTAGCTATTCAAGTGATTAATAATGTCTGTATGTCATTGGTATCCATGGGCAGGATGAGCTCGTTACCCTTCCGGCAGTCATCCTAGGAGAAGGACAACTCTAATTCCAAACCTGGGCAGATGGAGCTTGCTTAGCCCTGTAAGGCCATCCATCTAAGAGAAGGATACTCTAATTAAACCTACATCCTGAGGACCTCGCTGCCACCGGCAGATGAACCTTTAGGATTAAAGGGTGGGTCAGTTCCGCACACACTGTGTCTCACCTAAAAAACCCATTTTGCAGACTCGAAGGCCTTACCCGCATTTGCAAAGCCCTGTAGTGACGGGACCAACGCGCTTGTAACAAACGTGGGTAGAGCCCTCCCCAAATCTTCGTTCGCGAAGCCTAGCCATGAATTAATGTCATTGGTGATATCTCACTAATTATTAAAAATTATTTTTTAAAAATTATTTTAGCTGACAAGTAGTTCAAAAGATTTCAGTTTAAGAGCTAGAAAAACTCACTGGCAATTAAGTAATATTCTAATAGAGGTAATTAACTATGTAGGTAGCAGTATGAATTAAATCAAATTGTAAAACACTGTTTGCTAAAGCTTAGAATTACTCTATAGACTTCCACTACACCCTAAAGTAATAAAAAATATTTTACTTATAAGTATCACTTATAGAAACTAAGACTGATTGCTTTCAAAACAATGTAATTAGCTAATTTGGGATATTTTCTTGTGATAAAATCAAAAATAATTTTGTTTATTTGGTCTATGCTATGTTTGAAGCAGGGTTAATATTGATATTAAAAACCCAAGACTACTGAATTTAATGTGCCTAGACAACCAGCTGTTGTATCACCTGTTGTTCACACACCTGTCTGTTGTGCAGAACCCCCATAATGCTTTATGAGCCAGTTAAGAGCTTAAGGTTTTACTGGAGATCATAACTGCTATTTATGGGTTTGTATACATCCTCTTTTTTGTGAATCAATAGCATATTTAAACCAATAAAACAAACACAAGGATTTGTCATATTGACATGTTTCTTGAGTAGCGTGGTTCTGTGTTACCACAAAACTACCACACCAGAAAACCAAAGAATGTATGATTTATTTTTTCTACTTAAGTGAATTTGATCTTGAAACTGGATATCTACTATTTTATTTGTTGGACTTGTTTTACATTATCTACATAATGCATCTACACTAAGATCAAGAACTGGAGCAGTCAGAATAACAAAAATTTTATTATTACTGTTAAGCCAACAAACAAACAGTTATAAATACTCCTTAAAGGTAGTATATTTGGAGTAAAACCAAACCCAAAGAGTACTGTGACTACTCAGCCACAGTTCAGGATGGAAATTTCTAGGTAAGTGTATCACCAACCACACTCAGGGCAAATTATTTAGTGCTGTGTACAGTTCTCTGCACAGAAACTCCTCCAGAAAGAATCTGTGGCCAACAGGTGTGGCCAGTTCTAAATCCCCCCAGCTCTGTGCTGAAAAGGCCACCATGCCATTCACTTTCTGACATTATGAAATTCTCTGTAGGCTTCACCAATCCTTACCAGGGCAACAGTCCATTCCATTCTATTTCTAAATATGTACATTTTAAATACAATAATGGTTAGAACAGTTAGATCTACAATGACGTGAATGAGTCTACAGTGCCTTTCATCTTGATGCTAAATGGTTGGATTATATTTGGAAATAATTTTACAGCTGAAATTGGAATATCAACAATTATGCAAGGGTAACAATCATTAATGTGGTTTTTTTTGTTTTGTTTCATTTTTTTTTAATCAGCAAGACTACCTATTGACAAAAGGAAAAGTAACAAAAAGTTGTACTTCCACATTTCACCATATTTTTTTTACCATATTAAAATTGCAACATTTGACTTACCCTATTGTAGGTGGTTCAGAACCTTCTACTTCCAAATAATCATATTTTTCTTCCATTTGGAAATCTGTAAATATGAGTGAGATAGTATCACCAGGCTCTGCAACAATTGTCCATGTGCAATCTGCATTATTATGATATTCATTAGGAAAGTTGGGGCTTGAGATGATTCCACTGGATCCTCTCATAGTTCCTCCACAAGCATCCTCAGCTGTTAAAAAATCAAATAATTATAAATATCATTAAAATCACTCCTTAAAATTTGATACTTTCTTGCTGAGGATAGAATTTTATTGCCTTTTAGGTGAACAATTGCTTAAGACTTTTAACATGTTTGACTTGGAATGTAGCTGCAAGTTTAAGGTGTTAAAGAAGTAATTGCTTCATGTTTCAATTATTTAAGAATTATAATACTTTTGCCAGCACATATTTTTATAATCTAGTACTTAGTAGTAGATTATAAACCTTGATTAGTATTGTTTCACTCACTTTACAATAGCATGCAAAAATTTCATTATTTCCTCTTTAACCAAAAATGTTTTCATAAAGCAAGTTGCGTTTAATCCCTATCATATGCAGTCGGACATGTAATGTGCAGCAGTCACATTATACTGAGAAAAGAATCATGAGAATCTTATCCATCTTATGCTAATTGTATTGTTATATTTTATTTTAGTGAGCATTCTCCAATAATCTTTTTCCACTTTTCAAACAGCTGATCAGTTTTCAAAACAAAGCCATTCATGAGTGATTTCTTAATGTCAGATGCAAGACACTTTTGCAAATAAAATGTTTACATCAGAGTCATTTTAATGGGTATAAGTTTTAATAAATCAAATATTTCAAATTTGACCATAGGAATACATTCCTCACAGCTTGTGAATAATCATGAAATTATTTTACCAGTTATCACAACCAATTATTTTTTTTGTGAGGGTGACTCTTGACACAAGAATGCTCTATTTCTTAGCATACATGATGTGACTTTTGGGAATGGTCCTGGGCAGGGCCAGGAATTGGACTCAATGACACTTTTGGGTCCCTTTCAACTCAGCATATTTTGTGATACAATCTTATACTCAATAAACTAGGCAAACATTGGATTTATAAAGTTTATAAAATCAGTTCTAATAGAACTAATTCTACGAGAAAACAATTCTCAAATGACTGATGTTATGTATCTTCTTTATTAATTGTGTGTATGCCTAATAACTCAAAAATTGGTTTTGAGCATCTTATGGTAAATTTTTTTCTGTGAGTTAATAAAATTGTTCAGCACTGTAGTGCTACTACTTTCAAAATGGAAATACCTTTCAAATAACTTACATGGAAATATTGCATTGCTTATTCAGTTTATTAGCCAAATGTTTGAAGCATACTTGAAAAGTAGTTCTTTTTCTGCTTAATTAGAGTGCTAACATGAATAAAACTTGCCCTAGAGTCTGAAAACCCAGTCAATACTGATGAAAAATTAATGATAAAGATAGAAAAAACCCTTTAAGAAGTATAGCATCACAGAAAAAAAACTTTAAAGAATTCTGACACATATAATGGTTCACTTCTAACAGAAAGAAAAAAAATCCTGACTGTAAGAAATCTCTTAATTGCAGCAGTTTAGGAGTTTAAAATACTAGGTTTTGTCTCTAAAAAATTCTGCTAAATTATGCCATGGACAGATAGAAAAGCAAAGCAAAATCATATCTTAGATTTAATCTTACTAATTAGCCAGTGCACTTTGAATCCACTAAATACAACAAAACTGAGAAACATCATCACATTACAGGTTTTGGTCCTTTACTGTGAAAGGAATAAAAAAAAAAATAATAATAGTAATAACAGTACTGTTTTTGTGCATTAAGGACATTCAGAAAAATAATTTTAAATTGTCGGTTAACAGCAGTAAAATGTCCATTAAAAGAATGGGTAACATACTTGTTCAACGATTTTGAAGGAGTCGTATATTGATTTTTAAATATTGATTGGAATGTTTTATCAAGTACTGATTTTAAAAAGTTCTTACAGGTAAAATTTCATAGCTAAATTCTTGAAGCTTGTGCAAACTGGAAAGACAAATAGTTGCATGTGAATAGCTTTTCAGCTCATGTAATAAGTTAAAAGCAGAATATCAGGAGTGTCATGAAAGACTAAACACTTTGGAACAGCTTTCTCAGACTCAAAAATAGAAGTTCTTTTGAAAAATACTGTACTACAGAACTCATCTTTTGTTTTTCAAAACTCAGTTACAGAGTAACCTATCTTAGTTCCTAGCAATATAAAAAATTGCTTACTAACAATGTTGCTGTATTCTACCACTTAAAAAATTAGTGTTGGCAGCGCTAACTTAACCACAAGCAATGTCAATGACCGTGTCAATCTGCTATTTTGAGCCACATCTGAGATTTTTGCCACATCTGAGATTTTTACTACTAGCAGCAAAATGGCCCAAACAAATCATCGTGTATTTTGTTCTGATTCATGCAGAAAATCTGCTACAAATACAATATTAACTACATTTATATAGCACACTGTAGTCAAGCGCACACTAGATATCATCTTAGCCTCTATAATGCAAGGACTAGACCAATAAATAACAGAATTACTGTACTGTGGTCCTATTTTCCTCCACTTAGAATATAATTTGCTCGTGATTTAATTGGTTTAAGATCAGATTCCCATAGGTAAAAACTCCCATCTGAGAGAAGGCTTACAAACATTAATCCCCATGCAAATATTTGGTATCTTAAATTGTGAAGACATTGTAAAAAAAGATTTGCTCTTCAGCTAAATTGTCACACTGTCAACAGCAATTCTACCACTGACTTAATGCATAGTGCACAAGACGCTGACAAATAAAAGAAAATGTAGTAATTGTTTCTGTGGAATCCTCACAGAAAGAGCACCTGTATTTCTATCACGTTGAAATAGCATATATGCTTAGATGCCAGCTATGAAATTTTACAAACAAAAAACAAACTGACAAGGGAACATTTAGGAAGAGTAACAGTGGCTGATCTCCATCAATGTGCAGCAAGCCCAATAAGGATAGGTAAACAAGGAAGAAAGAGAGGAAAGATAATCTTTGCAGTAATTTTGGTACAGAGCCCTGAGAATCGCTTTCCCTGCCTTTCCATAACTTTCTCAATTAACTCTGTCAATCCACCAAGGTAGGAATCCTCAAAGATATTTAAGTGTCTAACCCCCTTTTTCCCAAAGGGACAGGCAAACCCATTTGTAGGACTGTCTTTGCCCAAGGACCTGGGTGTACTTGATGGGTAATGCAGGAGGATGGGGAGACCCGGTGTGTGTGTGCCTCAAGAAGATTTAACCTTGGGGGGAAAAATCTTGGGGTATTAATACTGGGGGGAAAATAATTCATGGTGTAAATTGTATGTTGCAGGAAGTGAAGTAGTAGGAATACAAGAACTGATGGAGAGCGAATTTTGTGAGGAGCAAGGAGACTGTAAGTGACCTGGGCTGGGCTGGTGTTGGTGCCCAATGATTGAGTGTACTGCTTCTCTTGTCCTGATCATCCATTATGACAAAGTGGAGCCCAAATCATGGCCTGTTTTTGAACATCTGGAGGGGTGGAAGAAGTCCATGAAATGGGAAAATAATATCTACATGTGAAAGGACAGGGGACACTAGTTAATGAAAACTTATTAATCTGTATGTTGGGTATAAGGATCCTTTAAGGTTGTAGTATACGTTGTATGTGTATGTGTTTTATGTTCTCAGACCTAATACACACTAAAATCACTGCAATAAAATGTAGTATGTAAACAGCAGTTAAGCACATAAATGCTTTGAAAGAACTGTGTGTGTCCCTGTCCTTTTAATTTCCAGTTATCAAATATGAACTAAAACATTCACAGGAATGGTGAGAAGACAACACGTCAGTTAAGGCTTGATAGAATCTGACATTTTTTGTTCAACTGCAAATACATAGCTAATACTGATGATATTTTTTTAAAAATCTACTTTTAAAATTCATACTCTATATTTTCAAATAAATGTATAGTGGGAAATTTCATCCAACAACAGTCTTGCAAATGTGATATGAAGGTATAAACGCAAAAAATACACATACTGCCAAGATGTCACTTTTCCCAACATACTTCTCTGATCTTAACCATATGCTGAAAGGGGAAGATTTTTCAGAGTGATATGCAAGTGGGGACTTGGCATAGAAAAGCTTTGCAAGATATTATGAATTCAAATGAAGATCTATGTTTGAATATGCATAAGAGCTTTTATGCAGAGGGAGTATCACTGATATAATGTGGTGATTACGAGAGTAATGTTTTGGTGTTGATTTTTATTTTTTCTTTCTGTGGGCATAGATTGTTTTTATTTATGTACATAGATGCCTACAGCTTTTCTCTTTCTCTTTTTTTTTTTTTTACACAATGTTATGGCCAAATGCCAATTAAAAGAAAAAATGTGAAATGTTTAGATGTTCAAATAATTTCTGGTGAAAATTAATTTAATAACATTTTATATTTTATTTTCTTCCTGATTTGCTGTTCACTGATCATTTTTCACAACAATTTTTGAAAATACATTTCTCTAGTTAAGTCTTATTTAATTTTCTGCTTTTTCTTGTAGGTTTCAGTGATATTCACAATAATGTTACATAAATATTGAATTGTAAATTTCAATAAGATAGATGATCAAAGACAGTCAATGTTATCAGGGATTTGTAGGCCATGCAAATTCATGGCTTCCATTAAGAATTCAATGAGATTGCATGGTAGATCAAGCTTCAATTTGGCACACAATATATGGTATCATCTTATCTATCTAGATATTTATAGTGAACAGAACAGTTAAACTTAAGTGCTTAACTCATCACAGAGTAATAGACATCTGATATCTATTCTTGAAAATACTGCAAGAAAAAAGAGTACAGCAACTTTCCAAGTTTAAACAATGATCTTTAATATAACCAACAGAAGTTCTGAGCAAGCTGAGCCACTTTTTAAGAAACCCATCATGGAAAGCTGAGACGAACTGCAGTAATTCTCTACACCTTGATCTCAGCCACACAAGCTCTGTGAAATTCTTGGCACACTCTTCACATTGTAGTTCAGGTACAATCCCAGACATACTGTTGTCTGCTCTTTCAAATTTTATACATTTTTATTTCAGAAAAATTATCTGAGCAATTTAAAGTAATCAGCAACCTAACACCCCTTTTTAAGCATTTTACAG